ATTTTATAAAAATAAAAAATAATATTTATAAATTTTGAAAAGATGAAAAATAAAAAAAAAAATAAGAAAGACCAAAATCAAAATCATCACTTTTACATAGGTTAAAAACATATTTAAATCTAATATAAATAAATTTTTAAAATATTTATTCCATAAAAAAAAAACAACAAATTACCCCTTTGTTAGGATTATGTTTTATGAGTAACGAAGCATTCAACTGTGTTCGTTTGTCAAAAATTTTAAATAAAATGTTTTTAATTTATTATTTTAAAGTTTTAAATACTCGAAGAATTTTTCGTCAAAAACTTCGAAGGATATATGATTTCTGATGTTTTATACTTGTGTTACATAATATATTTATATAGAGGAGGTTATATATTTAACAGATTATTTTGTACATATAATATAACTTTATAATAATTAAATATTTTTTTTAGGTTAAGCCAATATATTTATCTCCTATATTTTGCTATTTTTATCGAAATATTTATACATATAATTGTAATATATTATTTATTTTGTAGTTAATGCTTACGATTCTATTTTTAAAAATTATTCAAAATGCCTTTCAACTAATTTACTATATATGTGAATTTTATAAAAAAAAATTTATGAGACTTGGTTTGAATTTCAACATTCCTCTAATCTTAATAAAACCAAATTTCTAATTTTTCACTTCTTTTCTCCTCGACTTCTCTGCCCTCCCGGCCTTTTAAAATTCCTCACTTTGGAAACCAAACACACGTAAATTATACTAACCCATGTTTAATTAGATTATGCACATTTTATAGGCAACCTTCTTGATGCTTAATATTTTTTAAATAATTAAAGGAGTAATGTATAAAAATTTGACTTTATTTTTAAATAATTAATACTTTAACTTATTAGACTACATAATCATTTTTTATTATAAATTTAAAATATAATTTATAAATTGTCTCCGACGGAAAGAGGAAGAGCCATGGCAGAAAGAAGAAAATCGAGCAAGTCGTTAAGAAATGGAGCAAAGAAAGCGGCTTCAAAAGAAAAGCCCCAGTTACATTCGGAGCGACCGCGTCACGATCTCCATATGCCTATAGCGTAAGAGCGCCTCAACCTCGGACCCGAAGGAAGGAGTAGACCCCCTACCTCGACCTCTCTCCATAGAGGAGGAGCATATTCTTGATCGCTCTCGCTTAGCGTCAGGAACGTCTTCCCCTAAGCTATTGGACGAAGTGCGAGCGATCGCTCGACTCAAAGCAAAGGGCAGATCGCCGATCGGATGGCGCAATTGGATCCCGAAGAACCTTCATTTTGGCGAGAGCACAGAGATGCCATTATTCGGGATTCAATTCTTACTACGCACCAGCGCTTCTCACATACTGTCAAAAAAGCTTAAAGATTTAAGTGGTGCAAATGCCCACACTTCTTTAACTTAGAAAAGTATGGCGAAAATCAAACGAAAGTCTTAATGAGCTGACGGATAGAAGTCCAATAGCAACTGATCAACGCTTTGAGCGCTTCTTCCTTTTTCTTCGGGGGATGTCTCAGTCTATTGGGCCTAGAGGAGCTCTAGACTCTAGTTAGATAGCTTTCTGCGCCCCAACGGCGCCTTTCCTTTACCCATTTTGCACTTTCGATCATTCAATTTGGACTCGGTAAACTTTTCGATTCTATTCTAAGACATTCTTTATTCCATTACCTATTTTCTATGTCCGGTAAGGCGCATTCAGTTGAGGGAGAAAAACCTCCCGGGTCAACTCCTTGCTTTCATCGAGAATGTCATTGCCTCATGATTGCTGTCCAATGCTGTATTTCGACTACATTTCGCTACGCAACCCTCGCGCTTACTCTATAAATAGAGAAAGCAAAGGGGATTCATTGCTCTTTCTCCTTTTTTTCCCCGGAACACAAACAAGATTTTATTGTCTCACTGGTGAATTTTGTCAATTCCATTCCTTACCGGCTTCGTTGATTTACTTTTGTTTGGATATGTTATTTATATTTCTATAAGACACTGTTCGATAGCTTCTTCTCCAGCCTTAAAGGCCTGGTTTCGTCTGGTAAGCGAGCTCTACTATATATGGATACTGCCCTCTGCTGTTAGCGGTTTCGTTTGGTTGTCCTTTCCGTTTTGTTCTTTCCATTAAAGCAATCCTGTTCGAGCTTTATTTATTGGGTCTAGGTCTAGTTGAGACTGAAGTCAATGCCCCTATTGTAAGTAAAATGGCGAAAATCATATTCTATTATAATTATAGAAGTCGTGTTCCTGATTGTCGCTACTGCGGGTAAGAAGATCTTTTTCTGCCCAGTCTTCCTAGTTGATCCTTTTTCAGTCCGCCTTTAAAGTAAAGAAAGTAATTGGTTCAGTTCCTCGGCTTCGGCATCTTAAGATGCAGTGCCCGTCATTCCCATCAGTACGGGTGAGGGGTCGAGATCCGTTATTAATGAATGTCTCCTCTGGGCGCTCTAAAGCTAAAGCTCCTCTTCTTGTCTTGAAGGGAATTCACGCACTCGGACGAAGGCATTCCAGTTCAAAAACGAATAACTAATATTCGGCTAAACCTCGTGTTCCAACCAAGTCTTACAACCAATCGTATCATCCTGATCACTGATCAACGGGATCGGATCCTGGGTACAGAAAAGACCCTGAATCGCTTAGCTAAAGGCATCTTCCCACCTTTTATCCTCTCTGTAGCTACGCAGAGAGTCTTCTTCTATATGGCTAGCTCCAATTCCGTCTATTTTGAAATGGGCAAGATAAGCCCTTACTCGTGCTGCAATCAGGCTTGGCACCTTCCCTTATTCTCCTTCCTTTCCTTTTGGTAGTGCTAAGTCATCGAAAATATCCTTAGGCTATTAAGGATCGCCTTTCACCTGTGTGATGCAATTCTTTAGCGGGGAAGTTTTCGTTAGCTGGTATAAGCCACCCTTCTGTATAACTTGCGCCGGGAAGGAATAGAAAGCGGGGAGAAGGTCTCAGTGTAGTCGATGTCCTCTTTCAGAGTGAACCCCTTGGCGACAAGCCTGGCCTTCTATCTCTCAATCTTGCCTTTTGATTCCCTATTGGTCTTATCAATTTACACCCTACGGGCTTGGCTCATTTTCTTTCTCTGGGTTTCAGAGTGAGTGGGTTAAGGAGCCTTTTTCCGCCTTTCGTCTTTCCAGTCAAGCAGTGGTTCCTGCTCTTGCCTCTCATGAATCTACTCGACCATTCCGGAATGAGTGAGCTTTTGTATCCGTATTGAAGAATCCGGTTATCGACTCGGCAGCTATTGAATCTAAGCCAATTGAATCAGCAACCGCTGGTACAGTAAGCGGTGTTCAAATAGCCGTTGTTGGGATCTTCTCCGCTGCTAGCTCTTCTTCTTACTAGGTTCTGCTTCCTCATAGTTCTCTTGAACATGATTCTCTCATACGCACTCCTATTAAAGGAGTTAGGAAGCCAAGATCTGATCTGAGTAGTTCTGGTAGCCAATGAGCGCTTGTCTGGTATCGAATGAGCTCAAGTAGTTGAGTAGCTAAAGGCTTTGGTTGCCTTAGAGGAAAGTCCTATCTTCGGATAGCTTCCTACAGACTTCTTCCCTTATTTATTTTATGGAAGTTCCTGGATTGTGTGAAATAAGAACAGAGGGTATTGACTTATTAGCAGCTCAAGCTCCATTTCAAAGGTGAGGAGTGAACCTTCTGGCTGATTCAATATCACCGGAGTCTGCTCAGGGTTCCAAACCAGAAGCGAAGTTTCTTTTCTACGATACACTGGAATCGGGTCTATCTTAAGCGGGAAGAAAGCCTACCGACGGGTATGAAGGGATTCGGCATTCAAGAACTCCCTCCCAGCCATCCTATCTGGTGTAAAAATAGCTTTCAGGCCAGTACTCTTTCTCTCCTGGAAGCGAAGGCAGGAGCAAAGCCTATTGATTCACCTGTTTGCTAACCTACTTGTCGGCTACCCGCACTCTGTAACCAGAATAGGGCTCTGGAGTTCATACCACCCGGCGGTTCATCAGAAGTCTGGAAGGCGGCGCCTAAACTAGTCGGACTTGCTTGAATCGATACGCTTACCGGACTTCTCTGTCTATTCCATTTATTTTGTTGCAGACTCTTCCCCCGGCCCAGTAGTGGAGCTTGACCCTCGCCCTACGCCGATTGAGATCTTTCCTTGTGCGGTACAGGTAAATTTTGCTCTTGAGGGAATACCCGGTTCATCGGACCTTCAACCAGAAGAGGTAGGCTCGGGTTCCAATAAGAATAGAATTTAGCTTACGCCCTTGGCTTATGTGATTGAAGACGGCACCTTTTTACCGAAAGCATTGATCTTGTTGAGGCAGGCAAGCCCTTAGCCCTTACTACGATACGATATGGGGCACGAGCATTGAATGATTCTAGCTTGAGGGTCGATGAACTCTCTTAAGTTAAGCCGAATGCCCTTCGCTCGTTAGAAAGAAAAGAAAGTAACCCGAAACCGCTAAAGCCCTTAGCGACTCGAGCTGAAACCATTCCAGGAAAAGTCGACAAGATAGTCACCTGGCTCAAGGGGCATTGGTTGACTCTCTTTCTAAGAGCAGAGCCAGGTAGCATCGTAACGTAATATCAAGCACGTTCGCCTTTCATTCTCTTTCGCGTGAACGTGGACAAGTTTGCTTAGCAGGTTCGGAAGTCGGAAGAACGTCAAGACCTCTCGGTGCCATATTCATATTAAGTAAGGAGAAAGAGATGAGGCGAAAAGCAGCTAGTTCACATCTTCTCTTTTCGTTACTGCGGTTAGGATCAGGTCAGGGATGAGAAGTAGGTGAAAATCGAACTAGCATTTCTAAGAGCTAAGAGTTCGCTGGCGAAGGGCTTAGCAGCATAGTAAATAGGAGTGACTGAATGCAGTCGTCCTTACTTAGGCCTTTTAAGTGCTAGGCAAACTAAGCAAATCATTTAATTTAAGAGCTTCAAATCCTTCTCACAAAGAAGCACCCCCTATAGGTATAGGTCCATCAAACTTTCGAGATGGCATGAACGTTCTTGGAAAAGAAAAAGTAAGGAGGTAGTTATGTTTTAGTTACAACTTTCCTTGAAGTTGGGCTATTGACTTATTCTAGGATGTGCGCCTTAGGCGAGGGTTCTAATAAGTTAAAGTATTAATCATTTCAAAAATACAAAGCATAATCTAGTTCTATATTATATATAAAGGATGTCTTGTTATTACTTTTCATAATTTTTAGACACACATATATAATATATATATATATATATTATTTATTTATTTATTATTATT